GAAAATTTGAGGTGCATTGTAGTCAAAAGGGCATGCATTCTAATGTATGCAGGTTCCATCGGGAAAACTGACAAATTGATCGCTAGCGCGTGCTCATTGAAAGTGTACGAGGCGCGCGTGCCGGCCAGAAAAGTGCGCGACGATAACGAGTGGCGTCCACAGAGAGCGCTCCATTAATGATTGAGCAAAATTTGATTTGCAACTGAAATCGAATTGATAATTCTGAAGGACGAAGCGCCGTGGAAGGCGTGGCAAAAAAAAGCGATAATTCCGGCGAGCATTTGTCAAGCACATATTGGTTGAAAATTCACGTGGACTTGTAAATAAAGTTAAATTATTCGATGAGGCCGACGAACGCTGTGCGCGAATATACACAAATCGAGAGATGGTCGTTCGCTTAATCGAAGTGAATACATTGATCGTAGCTACGTGCCGACGACATCAACTTGCTCCAGCACGTACGCGACTCTTCGTTTTAAATAGAAGCGAACCTTTTATTGTTCAGCTTGCTTCTCTCGAAGCAACTATCCAAAGGGCGCAATTTACGATTATACGCATTTGCATACTGTCCAAATACAGAGAAATATCAAGGGAATTTTCATTGCAAACTGGATTAAATTGTCACTTGGCACTGTTACAATTTTATAATTGACTATTTGGCCTAAATTATATATCAATTCAAAAATACAAGCCGTCTCTCATGTGATCAAGATAACGAAAACACTGTCTGACTATACGCTGGTTATTCTACTTGGCTAGAGAATTATATAATTATTAACTTAATTATAATTGAGGCCTGCAATGGCTCGGTCGGTAGGGCGACGGACTCGTACCCGGTAGGCCCGGGTTCGATTCCCAGTTCCTGCTGATACAAGCACCTCTGAAAAAAGTTTCATGTGCTTTGTTCTCAAACACATTGCAAGCCTCCGTCGCTAATTAGCACTGATGGAGCATAAATAGAGCGACGTTAAAATAAAAAAAAAAAAACTTAATTATTAGCTATAAATACTACCGCTCAAGCAATGTAATTTGCCATACTTAACTGACATGCAACATCGTATAATCGTTATCTCAGAGCGTTATTACTACAACTTTCATTTCCTTGACTCGTTTAAAACCCAGATACAGTCATGATTAATTTAATATTCGATAGAGTGAACGATTTCTTGGATAATCGTCCACGTCAACTCGATCTACTGCGTTGCGAATAGAACAATTATTTTACTTTTCAAATATAAGCGCCAAACGTGCTTTCGAAATCACCGTAAGAGAAAATTTGCCGAGCAAACATCAATCGATAAGGCGATTCCATCAAGAGCCAAAGCAATGCGAAAGGCAGTATAGGAATGCGAGGATCATAGAGAAGTGCAATTACGCGAAGAATAATACCGGTGGAATGCTTCTGCGAATTGGAGGGCAGAAGCTCGCTCGTCTCGCGCATAATTATGCGTAGCGTGCGGGCTTGTAGCTCTTCGGTAATTAATTTTCCGTATTACAGCGTGATGGAGTCTGGCCAGCCCATCCGTCGGAATAGTCGGAATAAATGCTACGCCCTGAAAATTCCCTGGAAAATTCCGCTCGCTGCATCGAAAGAAGCCTCGCGCCGAAAGCACGGAACGACCTAACGATGTAGCAACAGTCGATGAAAATAACGAAGCTGGCAAATAACGCGTGAGCGTCGAAGGAGCAGAAACGATAAGAAACGCTCGTCACTCCGATCGCTCGTGCGTTCAATTTGACGAAATCGACCGCAGCCGGCAGATTTCATTAAAACATAGGAAATGTCGAGCATCCGCGGATATTTTGGTTAGCCGTTCGAGCATCAATTGAAAAGTTTGAAAGCTTCGGGAAAAACGAATTCGCTGAATGGAGGGGCTTCACGGCGGTGGCGGCCAACGGCAGAAAATCTAGCGAGTTTATTGTGCACGACTCGCGGCTAAAACGATTTCGTTTGAGGAGGCAGGAACAATAGCGCGCCGCGCCGTGCCGTGGCTTCTTGCGATTTCCCGGGCGCACAGTTTGCCGAGTTATAATACCAGGCCAAAGAGTTTGCTCGCTCGGGGAAGCCAATATTCGCCAAAGAGAAGGCAGAAAGAGAGAGAGAGAGAGAGAGTTCCACAGTGCTTCTTTCTTCTTATTCATTCAGCGAGCTTGTTAATGGACGCGCGGGCTTATTTTATCTGCGGCCTCAGGCCCTGCGCTATACCTCCTTCTTGCCTACTTCTTCCCGTCGTATTCCGAGATCGTATTATTGCTTTCTTGTTCTTCCTCTTCATCCGACTACCAAAACGTTTTCTGCTATTTCAATATCTTCTCGGTCGACTAAGACGTTAAAGCGACTACTACTTTTTCTTAAAGTCAAACGAAGAATTGGTTTGCAGCTCTTCTGGCAAGAAAATGAGATACCTTGCCGTGATGAATGAGCGAACAAACGTCAATCATTTGAAGCGCTCATTTTTCTTCAAATCGAAACATTCTGTTGACATCATTTCCATATAACAGAAAGAAGAAACTCTAAATTGTAACTACAATTCAACTGTCAATTTATGACAAATTTAATTATGTCATACAATACTTGTATTATTTCCTTTTAAATTTGTTAAATCAAATACGCCACTGTAAATTCAAATCATCAAAAACTAACAAAAACAACGTTCTGCCTTTTACTAGTTATTTAGATATTAATATATATATATATATATATATATATATATATATATATATATATATATATATAGATTGTTCTGAATACATTTTCCATTAGAATCAAAATAAGATGTCTGATTTAAGGTAATTTAATCATAAATCAATATTGTTTCGAAGTGTTATCACCAAATTCAAATCCCTCAATACTTTATTAGCTCGTTAAATTTTAAGAGCACATTCAATATTATACGAGGCCGTTGCATGTCAGGTTGAACCGACAACAGAAGTACGCTATATCGCTCTTGAGTGAATATTCGCTAATGTCTAGTTACGAGTGACATACAATACACAAAAAGGAACTGCGAGCCGGCATTCAAAAAAAAAAGTTAATGTTACAGCCCATCGGGATAAAGCGATTGGAAACGAAGCGAGGCCGATTCGGGCGTTGCACAAAAATACGATCAGGGAAAGGTAAAAAGGAGGCCAAGCAAGCTCCCTGGAGTAAGACGTTTCTCCGGGCTCAACGTCTCTTGGTGAAAACGAGATCTCGAAGAGGAGCGAATAAGTACGCGGAGGGCGCGACAAATCGTAGGTCATTCCTCTTAGCTCTCTAGCAAGTGCTATTTTTCAAATTCGATCCTTTACTCGAGATTCCTGCTTCTCTCACTCGGCTTATTTTTGTTTTTTCGAAAACTTACACGTGCCAACAATTCGGTAGACAGTTTTAACGTTAGCCGCAGCGCCTTCATTATTTGTTAGCCTCACATTCATTCATGAGGCCAAATATGAAACTGTTACGTCAATTTAAAAAGTTTAAAACGCAGTATGACAACAGATTTATTTATTTTACCATTAGAATAATTGCGAAGTACCGGCTTTCCCACATAATTACGCCGTAAAATAAAAAAGAAAAAGTTTTACGCTGATATGTCGATATTTGATTTGTCATCATTATTTGATTTCTCTAAGTACTATCACTGCTAACGAGTATTATCCGGAACATTGGAAGTTTATTGTAGTGTACTATTTTAACGGACATCGCAATATCCATAATAATACCTTGTAATAGACAACGAATAACATTTAATATGTATTTTTCATTATGTATTTGCAGGTGGTTGAGGGAATGAGGCTGCTTTGATGACTTTATTCGCTATTAGAATACTGCAATCATAGGACGGATGCGTCTGAAGAAAAAAATAGGTCTTTTTCGGACATATCCATCATATACAAGCTATTGAACATGCAGTATCTAAAAAAAAGCAAAAATCAAGACTGTCACTTTGAAAAAATGAAGAAATTAAATAAGAGTGACGTAGGACATGATGAACAATCAGAAAATTGCGGACATCGCGTATTTTTGCTGAAACAGCAGTGGCGTTAGCAGCGGTCGCATACCACCGAAATCAAAGCAGCTGACAACCAGACCAAAATATGTCCGCCCATAAATTTTAAATGCGTCACACGTTTTTTGGACTTTATACGGCAACGAAACCAAACGAAAAAATGACCTCCTCTCGTTTTTTTTATTTACTCTCTTCCATTCTTACAAGTTACATTTGACGAGGCATGTTTTTTTTGCACTGAGCTAACTCCATTAACTAATCCATTAGCGCGCACGAGCGACTCCTGGATGGCAAAACATGCTTACGCGTGCTCGACTGCGAGTGTAGATATACGTAGGTAGATTTGCGGATCTTGGACTCGGGCAAGATCTGTCGCGTGAAACTGAAAGTAGGACAATTTTTCACCGGTAGAAGCCTACGGCGATGTTCCGTCGGGACAAGGGCGATGTATGGCTTGCGAGACAGAAATTAGATTAGAATGCAGTCCGCCGGGGGAAGAATACCAACAAAAGCCGATAGCGCGCGATCCGAGTTTGGAGCAAGTTTGCTCTCGCAAAAGAAGGCGAATGGGGGTCAGCCTTTATTCGCGCAGACATCGGCTTGTCCGACTGACCGGGCGCAATCTGTTGTGTCGCCCCCAGCGAGATTCGCCACTAGGAGCTTAGAATGGACCTCAGTCCAGTCGATTCATAATTCATTGACTGGCGCATCATCGTTTCACGAGACACCGAACTTGGGCTTCGGAGGGCAGACGCGCGAGTGCAGTATCTTTGCTTGGTCGCAACTGTCGTGCCGGCGTGTCCATCGAGAAAAGTGCACTCGCGCGCTCGATATCTCATATTGAATACGTACGTGTGTCCGCCGGCCGCGAGTGACGAACAAATAAGGGCGCAGATTACGCAGAATAAGATGCTATCGACAGATTATCGATACGTATTCAATGTGGAATATCACGGAGGAGGCTTGAAAGGGCTCGTAGTGCATATCGATAAGGTAGCAACGACTGACCTCGTATTTCTCCTGTATGTGCGGTCCAGCCTGTGCGATGTAGAGCGTGCTGGCGGTGTCAAAGACGAGCTCGGGCGGAATCCGCGTGACCCGCTGCCTCGCCATTTCGTGGCAATTCAAGTAGAGGATTACGTCGTTGCCGGTCACCCGTATGACGACCTTCGACCAGCGCTTGGTCAGCTTGGGTACCGTGAACTTGGCCACCTCGTCCGAGAAAGAGTGCATGTCCGAGTTGGTGTAGACCAGCGAGATGTTTTGGTTGGACGATGGTCCGTCCTGTTTGAAATTTCATTTGCTGGATGGAATTCAGCGTGTACGGGCCAAAAGAGCACCGAGAGATTCGTATCGGGCGTGGATGAACGGGGGGGGGGGTGCGGCAGGAGGAGCACTGGGGCAGGCGCGAAGGCAACGGCGGCGGCTCCTCGGGAATGGACGGCACGTAGCGCGAAAGATAAAACAAAATGGGTTTGCAGTTGATATCTCGAAGGAAATGCTATGTATCAGGCGAGAGGCGCCGAGGGCAGGCTTCCAAAGGAATAACTAGCTGCGCGTGCGACTTACGGATATGCGGATGCCAAGCTGGACCACGGTCTCGAAGGGATTGAGCACGGCGAATAGGTAGGTGTTCTTGATGGCGAGCGGCTTGAAGGTGGCGACGAGGGTGAATTCGGCCGGCAGTTTCTCAGGCAGGTACATCCGATAAGGCTGTTTGATCTCCGAGCCCAGTCGAAAGCCGAACGACGGGAAGTTGTCCAGGCCGTCGGCGATGTAGAGGGTCTTGTCGTTGTCGTCGATCTGCGACACCACCGCCTCCAACAAGTCGTACTGGGTCTCTGCGACAAAAGCCAACCAATCGAGAGTCAACGTGACATCAAATATTTTGGCGTTTTAGCGACACAGAAAACCCATTACTCTCGTCCGCGACGTTATCCATCACTCTTACCGTGCAACCGCGGTGCCGAGCGACCTGTAATATAGTACACATTAACGGCAGCAGCAGCAGCAGCAGCTCGTCGCGCTGCAGCTATGCCTCATAAATCGACGCACATTACTCGCGACAAGAGCCCTCGAGCTCGCCCTCTCTCTCTCTCTCCTCTCCTCTCCTCACTCTCTGGAAAAGCCGCCTCTTCTAATCAATATTTATTGCTGAGAAATGCCGTCAGCTGCCAATCGCATTTAAAGCTTGCCATTTTTCAGAGACCCAAGCTCCGATATAATTCGCTGGGCCGGCATCGATACTGTCAGCAGCGTGCCGCTCCCGTGCCGCCTCGGCGAAAACTGCTGCAGCGCCGAACTTACCAAATCTGCCCGCGCTCGGGATAAATAGTTTACACGTCCGGTAATTCCATTGCAAGCCGCTCGTACAGTTTGTTCGCGGGCTTCAAATATAAAACAAGCACAAGTTCGCAAAGCAGCGCCCACTCGTATACATCATCGCGAGTGCGCCAATTTCAACAAAGTTACGGATTCGATCAGACCGAGTAGCTCGTTTTATCTAAAATGCTTTCATCCGTCTATATACGCCGGCCTCTCAATCAAATGATTAATCGCTCGACTGCACGAAGCGTACAGTCTCAAATGAAAGACTATTGAATCGATTGAAAGCCGATGTACGAATTCAAGTAGTTAAACGCGCTCCACCTGTTACATTGACTTGGCTAGTCCCTGCTACGCTGAATCTCTATTGGCATAGCTACTCTCGTCATTTATCGATGCATCGACTAAATTGGCTTACATTCACGTGCAGTTTATTCCTGCTGACGTCTTGCGAAAGTATACTGTGAAGTACGAGCTGCCATTTACATATTTGACCAACTTTATTATTGAGCGTGAAGTCACTTTCGCACTTAATATTGAACGTCATCGTCGCAAATGGCTGTTGTATCATGAAAAACATATCGGACACAATCGATTATGATTTAAAGTGAAGTTAGTCGAGGGGGGGCCGGAATCAAATATTTTAGAGACGCGTGTTTTATATTTGGGACGAAGGATAAAGGGAGCGCGGAGTGATATTTACGCGGTGAAAATTTAATCGCGCATTGTATGGCCTGTTTAGTTCATAACTCGTTAAACGGATGGCGCCAGCTGTAGAGGCGGCGCGGGTCGGTGCAACAGCTCGTTACAGTCACTGCCTACTTTACAGCCAAAGCAGCCACAACGCCGCTCGGCGCGAGCGCGAAGGCAAATTGAAAAAGTTGAGAACGCGCATTTGTCACACAAGTTCTCACCTGCCTAGCGCGCGTTTGCGTTAAGTGGTTCGTCACTTAGCCGCCACGATCGCACCCTTCTACGATGTTTCAATAGACTTTTTTTTTCGCTTTTCTGCCCCCGCAAGTAGTTTTTCAATCGTAAACTTTAATTCGGGACAGAGGAAGAGGTAGAGAGAGAGAAAAAGAGCGAGAGAGGGAGGGAGAAAGGGAGAGCATGCTCGCGAAACTTAAAATTGAGCAACTATTTGTTTGTTCCGCTCTGTCAGAACTGTAAAGAGCAAGTCGAAGGCGCATTCTTTTTCGGCTGAATACGAGCGCGAAGTGAACGTTCACATTTGATAAAAGCCTTTTAATGTCTGCTTAGCGCGAGCAAAGTTTAATTGGTCGTTTTGCGACTGGTATAATCGGTTTCATTAAACTCCCAGCCTAGAAAGAGTAAAGATGGCAAAAAAGTAATTCGGTCTATTTGAGCGCCGAAGCGCCCGCAGACAGTTTCAAGGAACGCTGCCAGTTTTATTTACCGAGAAACTTCAGTCCAAACTACTAAGTGCCGTTCAACTTGGTTGACGCTACGGTTGCAGCTTGTGCAGCCGCCACTGCTCATCTCCACCCCGTATCCCCGCCCTTCCCCTTCGGTGTGTGAACCCCCTGAACTGATTGTACTGCCACTAATTTAACGCCTTCCAAATCAAAGCCCATGCGGGCGCAATATACCCCTTAATTGTTCCAGCCTCCATTCCTCCGTCCAATTACAACTTTGGCATTTTTCAATTTGCCAATGCGAATTCCGCTGATTTGTCGTACTTTGGATAATCAGCAATACTCACTGTTCATTAGGTACCCTTTATTCTGCGAAGCTTAAATTTATTTCTAATATTGTTCCGCGGATTCGTACAAATAGTAGCGAGACAAATCGGAATCATAAATCTGGTAACAACACTGCGGATGCACGTTTGAAAAGTGAGCCACACAATCATCAGATAACAGCTCGAGCCCTCGCCACAAGTCGTTACCATAATAAAATTACACATATGTATGTAAATCTCAGCATGCCTCCCCAATAATCGTCGTACCAGTTGACCGTCCGCGTAAATTTTCCACTGCGCCCAATATTCGAGAATCAATTTGTGCGTTGCCCATTTGCATTCATTTGCATGCATAGATACCTATTACTAGGAGGCTCGTGTATGCATTATCAATCTCCACGACCTGCTCACTTCAAGCAATTCTTTTCATGGCTTATCTGTTTTCCTCTCACCAGACAACTTTGTTTAATAACACCAATTGTATATTGCGTACAAGTAAAATACATGTAAATACATTATTTATTATTGACTCGAATAATTCGAAATTATATCTTTTTCGAGCACTGATCACTTCAATACCATTGAAAACAAATATTCGAAACACAAAAGAACTTTTAAAAATATTATGAACAACTTAATTTATTTATTCAATTGTTACTATAATTATAGTCGTGTTTTTTCTTTGCAGCCAGCTAACTTGTTAATTGATAATTTATAATGATATTGTAAAAAATACGTTTCATTTTAAAAAAATCTGATGAAAAAAAGGAAAGCTCCTAAGAAGTTGAAGTTTCTAACAAAAATTCCAATTGGCTCCATTGTACTTTTTATAAAGTTTACAATTCATAACTTTTTTTATTTTGGATTTGGGATATTTATAAAGTTGAAATCATCCAATGTAGGGATTTTGAGAGATCGATAAGTAAACTTCGGTGTATATATTAAAAAAAATGTTATACAAGTACTATGTAAAACTTCCATGTATTTCAATATGTTGTAATTTGAGTATTTTATTTTTCTTATATATATAGGAAGCAACGTATTTATTCTGGCTTCATTTTAAAAACCAAATATCTCTGAGTAAATGCATGAATTGTCTGCTTGTTACTTTTCTACTGTTTCAACGTGAAGAAATTGGCTTTTCGCCAAATTCGCCTGTAAATCAGTCAATCACGGATAAAAGCGATTTCGTGTCGTAAATCGTTAGAGCGATAAAAGGTTTGTTCTATATAAAGTACAACGTAATCAGGCTAATTCCATATACGTGTATGTGTATGTATTTTAAGCTTTATAATTACTTTCACAAATATAGTGTAACAACAATGTGTTACGTGTAGTATTTAATTATTAATGTTGATTTAAATTATGATTGAATGACTTGTGAATTTTAAACTGTAATTATTTGTTATGAAGGAAATTGTTTAAAAACAGTAAATAACTACAGTGCACCAAAACGTAAATAGTTTCGATATTTTAAATGCTAAATATTGTGTCAAAAAAAATAAGATATTTGAGCATTGTAGCTCATTAATTGATTCAACGATACGTAATTCTAGTCTTTGTACAAGAAAAAACTTGCAATTATTGCGTAATTCGAACGCAAAATACATACTCAGCATTCGTAATGCTTACATTTAAAGAAGACGCAGTGCGTGCACAGAATGTAAGATAAAGTTATATTGTTTATTAGCACTCTCTCGTGCCTCGAGCCAAGTCTGAGTGTCAGTCTCGAGTACCAAAGTCCACAGCTTTTTCTTATTCATTCATTCGAGTTGTCTGCTTTTGTTTTTGTATCAGTTTCATCTATTCGTACAATACCCGGATTTCAAACTTTCACACAATGTTTCATGCAATCAAGCGTGTAATGGTCAATAGTATTTTTGAAGCACCTGCATGCGGCAACCCGTCGCACACATGATCATTTTAGATTAGAGTAATCAAAGATCAGGTGCCAATAGATTAATATATCTACATATATTATTGTTGGTGATTAAATCTATTATCACATATCGAACTTAACGTCACAAATATCGTTAAATTTTGATATATCGTATGTAAAAATGCTTTATTTATTGATTGTATTTGTTTTTATGGTATACCAACTTTATTATATACTTAATATGTTAACATCGGGTAAGAATTTAGCTTTTTATTTAATCAACCAACTATTTGTGTACTCTGGTTTTGAAAACGAATATTAATTATCAAATAATTTGTTGTATACTAATAAATAATTATTTTTGGACCTATAGCGAGATGTACAAAATGTATCAACGTGAAAAATACTATAAATTATTTATTTATACATCGAAAATAAGTAGTAAAAATTATGTTTAAGTTCGCGATCGCTTCGAAAATAACATGACAAGGGCGGTTAAGCGTAGTGTAGCCAAGAAATCATGTGTAAATACGCCTCACCGGCTGCAGAAAACGAAGTTGTAATTTTAGTATACATCTATCACTGAAGAGCCTTTCTGCCGCTCGGCAAAGCACCGAAAAATTAATAAACTCAGCTTCATTCCTGCGATTATGTTTTGATTGAGTGACCTTTACTCCGTAAACTCCTGTCCCTAAGAAATCTTAAAGTCTCAACACTTGAGGATTAAGTCTTTCCTGGGCAAAAAGTGTACCTAAGACTTCCACCTTATCTGATTTAGTCCTATTTTGGTTGATTATCTTGAAATCAAATTGAGTGAAATTCAATTTCTTGGAAAGAAATCGCAATTTCACTGTAGATTCTAAGTTTTTTACTTAATGAAACGATAAAATATTGTCCTTTGATTATCACGCAAATCAGTAGAATGAAATTATACT